AAGTCTTGGCCAGAAGCTTGTCACGCGCATGCGGAAAATGGCAAAACGTTTTGTTGCTGTTCACTTGAGGTTTGGATCCTTATATGTCACAAACATTTTCTGTTCTTCATCAGTGATACTTTAAACTGCAAACATGATTGATAATTTGTAAAAGCCTTGTTAATCATCTTGTTATTCTTATGTTATCTGAATTGTTTATATTGCTACATTATCTTTTTCACTTTTTTTTTTTCTTTTTTCTTTTGTATACAAGTTTCTACTGCATGATTTATTGAGGTATTTCACTATTAATAGAGTTAAAAGTTTCATGAAAGTCCAGAGCTCCACCAGAAGTTCTTGTTCAATTTTATGTTATGTCTACAAATTAGAATCTCCGTCTTCGAACATCGGTAGTCACACCAGAGTGTGTTAATCAGTTGTGCTTTTACCTTCCTTGAAGAGATTACGAATATCTGTAGGTATCTACACTGCTGGAACTTCCATCTTTGTATTTCAAGATGGAGCCGTACCTGCAAGTCACCTTACCTGCAAGTCAGTCTATCAATACAAAAATAGTTTTTACAATATGAAATTTGACCCCTTTGTATCTTGCAATTTAATAGACGAAACCAAATGTGAAATATAATGGAGAAACGTACAGTGGAGACACAAGCACACACAAGATTTGAACTGTTCTGATGGAGAGATATGATGATGTATCAGCATGATGTCACATACTGTTATACTAAAAGTGATTTGTTGAATAGTTTCTACTGATCCTCATCCAGCACTCTTCCCGCCCTCTATAGTACCTTCTTGAATAACCTAAGTTGATTTTGAATCTGAACATGGTGGAAAACAATGGTGAAAAAGTCAACATGAAGCCCCCGAATTCCAATCGAGCACATGTATGTTCTTTTCTTGATATTCCCCTTGGAGTTCTCTTACCTGCTTCTCTGAACTAATTTCTTGTAAAAATAGGATTACATGTAAGTTAGTGTTCTTGTTTACATTGTAAAATGGTTTGCATATCACTGCTTCACATGATCTTTTAGTTCTTGAAATTTAGTGCTACGAGTCTACTGTGTTTACCTGCACACTTTATGCTTTATTTATTATACATGCGAAAGCTTTTATATTAAAGACTAAGCTGCTTAATATTATGAAATGTAATTTGTAGGTTTGAGCCTGATATGCTTGCGTTTTCTGGATGTTACTTTGGTGGGGGTGATAAAGAAAGAAACGAGCTGGCTGAAATAAGAAAGCGGTGGGAAACATTACCTGTAAGATATTCATTCTTTGCCATTCTTTCAAATGCAATGACCAGAAGTGCAATTATCCTGGATTTCAACAGTAGCAGTAGATTTCCTAATCATATAGTGAACTCGTATAATAAAAAGGTTTAGGGTGCGTTTGTTTAAGAAACACCTCAATCCATACTCAATCAAAAATTTTATGGAGCCATTGGATGGTTTTCTTATGGAGCCATCCCGTTGCGAAAGTGTATTTATTGCAGGGCACGTGTCAACACACTTTGTGAATAAGTGTGGATGAGTCGTGTCATCCGATGGCTCCATAGTAAAACTGCTCAATCTAACACAGCCTCACTATCCTCAAGATTATCAATATAATTAATTAATAACAATAAATCATTTTTACACCTCACATCAACTTTAATTCACTATTCATCCATTCACATAATTTTAACTAACCATCACTTCACATTATCTATCTCCTACTTTTACATCAAATCAACTTTAATTATTTTGTTTTAAATATTATTTTAATATAAACTCAAAATCCCACTCACAACTAACTATACCATATTTTTCAAATTAACCAAAGTAACTCGTTTTGAGCGGATATATTTGTATCGAAGCACGCCCTTAGAGTGACAGTTTGTAATTGTTGCTTCAGGAATTAAGTCCAGACGAAGAGCGAACAAGAGGGAAGTGTCCTTTGACACCTCATGAGATTGGTTTGTTGCTGCGCGCCCTCGAATTTGATAATAACACGTATCTTTACGTTGCATCTGGTGAAATATACGGTGGAGAAGAAACTTTGCGTCCCCTCAAAGAACTCTTTCCGAATTTCTATACGAAAGAGACACTGGCCAGTGAGGAGTTGAAATCTCTTCTTCCCTACTCATCTCGCTTGGCTGCTGTCGACTATATTGTCTGTGACGAAAGCGATGTCTTCGTCACCAATAACAATGGGAATATGGCAAAAATCCTGTCTGGTAGACGGTAAGTATTCTGTGTTATACTAAACAATCTTAATTCAAGGTGACTTGTGCATAATTATCTTTTACATAATTATGATGATCAAAGTTGTGTTTGACTTGCATCACGTAGAAATAATGATGATCATTCGAGATTTAGCACTTTGTTGGTGCTCTTGCGCGAAAACCGATATCAAAACACATAAATCCCTTACATCAGCAAAGGAAACTTAAGCTTTCCTTACAATTACTTACTAAATTTTCTTTCACTTCCTGATGGTGTTATTTATGATACCACGACTTTTTCATTAATGTATTTTTACAGTTCACTGTATACTGTCATCTCATCTCTGTGGAGTTTAAATGTACTAATTTTGCCTTTTTTTTTTTTAAATTATTCTTTTGGTGAAGGAGGTACATGGGTCATAAGAGAACAATCAGACCAAACGCCAAAAGGCTGAGTGCATTGTTTGCAGCACGGCACAAAATGGAATGGAGCACCTTCTCGAGGAAGGTCAAATCGTGTCAGAGAGGTTTCATGGGAGAACCTGAAGAGATGAGACCCGGAAGAGGAGATTTTCAAGAGTACCCATCAGCGTGCATTTGCCAAAAGCCATCAAAATATTCGCAATCAAACAGTAAAACCACAAACTTGCCAAGGCTTCTAAACGTTTCGGAGGAAATAAGACGGGAAAAGCAGAACACCGAAAACAAGAATGTTACTGCTATTGAGATGTATGGTGATGATTTTTTGGCATCTGAATAGATTACTAAAGACCATCTGCTTTATTTACACCAACTTTAATGATCACGTGGAGAGTGTACTTTGTGTACCCGATTTCACCAGAATTGTACGCTTTTAGCACACTTGTACCATCTGTGAGCCCTCAATTGTTCGTATATATATAAGTAAAAGTTTATCATTTTTTTCTACATAATTTTGGCTTTTCTTTGCGAACATAATCAGATTCTTCAAAGTATCTCTTAGTATTTCAGTTGAAAGCAAACTCTAAGAGCATCTCCAAAACTATTTCAAAAGCTTTGGCTTTGAAAGACAATGACTTTTACATATGCCAGTTAATGATTGTAATGTTAATCCACATAGAAAGTTAATGATTGTAATGTTAATCCACATAGAAATAACGTTAAAAGGCTAAAAATTTGAATCAATGTAGGATCTCTAATGCATCACTTTGATAAGAAATTATTTGTATATTTGAACAAATTGAAATAATTAATTGATACAAGAACAATAAAAAATTAAACCAAATATAAAGTGAAGTGAGGAGTCTATGATATTAAACAGTTGATTTGTCAATATTTAATGACATCCACTTCATCATGAGTTCATGACAAACTACATTAGAGAATAAATTAGTCACACACTTTCGAAGATGATGATATATATATGTTTTTTATAATCGAAAAGTCACATTGGAGATGCTGTAACAAAAAAATTAAAGGATGATAATTGAAAGCATAAAAATCTCATTATTGTATGAGTTCGAAATTAAATCCAATTTATGTGTCATATGGCTGCATCAAACTGCATAGCCACTAATTAACACAACAACCCACTACTTTAAACTTCAATCAACTCACAACAGATCAAGACACATTGATCATGGTTTCTCCTTCAGGGGAAGAGAAACATCCATAAAAAGAGGATTTTATAAAGATGATAACAAAGGACACCAGATTTTATTTAAAAAAAAAAAAAAAGAAAAAAAAAGACACTGCATATGTAATAAGCAATCGAACACGGGCTCCATATACAGCCCCGGCCCTATTCAGGAGAACAAATTCCAACAATGTACATCTGTATTATGCCAACTACACAGATATTGACATCTATCGCCCTAAGTTTTACAGCTCAAACATAACAAAAGCCGAGCAATTTAAATATCATCCTCTTTATAACAAATTAGTCTACATAAACCAACATGGCAACTTGGTCATAGGCTCATAGCTGATTCAAAAGGAGTTGTTCGGCCGCTGCTGCTTCAACCACGACTATTGTTCCCTATTTAAAAAAAAA